ATTGAACTCAGGCCCCTGAGCTTGCCAGGGAAGCACTTATTCCACTGAGCCATCTCCCCAGCCCCCAGATTATGTTTTGATGACCTTGACAGGCTTGAGAACTGCTCAGGTACACTATAAGGTGCTCCTTATTGGGAATTTTAAGATAATTTTTCCCATTACTAGACCAGGGTTCTCCGTGTTTGGAGGAAGACCACAAAAGTGAAGCGTTATTCTCACCCACCTGTAGGGAGTATCCCTGTGATCAGCTTCAAGCATTGCATCGGCACTGGTACTGATCCTGATCACCAGGCCGAGGTAGTGCGTGTCATGTTTCTTCTGCAAAGTTACTCTTCTAACTTGCTCTTTGAAAGGCAGTCACAGAGAGCACTTCCCCTGAAGAAGGGTTTCCCTCTTCGTCTTTGACAATGGGATATCTAGAGTTTTGCACATTATTTGCTTTTCTATTTCTTGCTTTAGTGATCAATCAACCCTACCTGCAGGAGGAAGACATCGTGGTTATATTCTGGGGCTCTTTTTGACCAGCGCGGCCATGAACCTTTGATTGCCCATCCATGCGGGAGATTTGAACACCTATTGCCTGGCTTTCAGGATCCAGTCCTAGAACCAGCTCTTTCTCTTTGAAGTTCTGTGAAAGGGAGAGACGGCTCAGTAGAATAAGCATTTGCCTGGGAAACACAAAGACCTGAGTTCAATCCCTGGTTCCACTAAAAAAAAAAAAAAAAAAAAGAAAAAAGAAAGACCTGGGTACAAGGCCTGCACGTGAACTCCCCTGTGATTCCTCAATCCTGTCGGGATGCAGCTCCAGTCAGTGGGTTTGGTGCCCGCCCAGTGTGAAGGACGAAGGGGCCGGGTAAGCAGAACAGCCTGTCCTGCTTCCTGGTGCCCTGGACCTGCGCGGCGGCTCGGGGAAGCCGTGGCTGAGGCCTTACAGCCGGAGTCCCCGTCCCCAAGATGCGATCCACAACCCAGGACAGGTAGCTACAGCCGGCAACCTGGGTCTTCTGCCGGCAAGGAACTCCGGCCCGCAGCGAGGACTGTGGGCGGGGCCTGAATCGGCGGACCTATCCCGAGCCGACGGGCGGGGCATATGGGGGCGTGGCTAGGACTTGCAGGCGTGGGGCGTGGCCTGTGGTCGGGTCAGGGCCCGGTGTGAGGGCGCGGCCTGAAGCGGAGCTCAAGATGGCCCTGGGGTCTCGGGGCTTCTCGCTGCTCCGCGGCCACCTAGGCGGGAGAGCGATGCCGTCCGGGACCCTGCGGGGCGCGGCCAGGCGAGGTGCGTGGGACGCGGGGCGCAGCGGGGAGGCGCTGGGCGCGGCGTAGGCTCGTCCGCGTGGGCGGCCCGGCCGCGCGTCTGCCCTGGCCCTGGCGTCGGTGGTGGCGCGCGTGGCGCGGCGTGGACGCTCCTCCGCGTGCGTCCGGAGCCCGCTATGGCGTGTTGGTGTCGCACGCACCGGGCTCTCGGGGCAGCGGAGCGGACGCGCCTCACGGAGCTAGGGAGAGCGTGAACACAGGGGTTAATTTGGGACGGTTCACCCCAGCACACACGTTCGGGTCTTGGTCTTGAGTGACTGAAATTAAGCACGATTCTGTGTCAGCGTTGCCCACGGTTCCCGTGACCGTGGCTTCCTTGGGGACCCACGACAAAATCACTCCGTCTTGCCGGGGCCTTGCCAGAGCGCGTGGGAGCTTGCCCTGGGCTCAAGAAAATCCGCTGGCTCTGCGCGGAGTGCACAGTCTCGGTTCAGGGACAGAACGGAGGGGATAGTCTACTCTAAATTATTTCTGTAGAACATTGTTCTCTCAATTTCCATTCTCGTGGGGCTTTACACCACCGTCTCCACGCCCGTGAATTGTCTCGTCACAGCAGTTACAGTGCAGATACTTGGCTGTAGCCACGTGCGGCCTGCGTACAAGCGCATACACACCCACTCAAGCCAAATTCGGATTTTCTAAATTGCCTTTACTGGCCTCTGATTTACAGAGGTGGAGTTCAGTGGTTTGGACAGCTAGTTCTCATGTAGATAAAGAGTGGTATTCCTTTAGGCATACCCATGATGTAGATTATAACTATTAAAAAATAGATCTTACTTTTAATAGTGCATTTTTAGAGCGCACTGGTCAGGTTAGGACAGGGTAGTTTCTGAAACCCGGCACTGGATGCAGTAATCTGGAGGTGGGTTTGCTTGTTAGGCTGGTAAACACGTTGGGCTGGTGGGCTCTGTCGCATGTTGATACTTACTGGTCTCTCTCTTCCCTTCTAGGACCAGAAGGGAGAAGAGAGTCCGTCCTCCAGAGGTCACCACTGTCTGCCATCCCACCTGTCTGTCCCCTCTACAGTCATCTGTATAAAAATACATTAGCTGTCTAGTTCCTTATAGTGAATGTCATTTATATTTGATGTCATTTCTATTGACGTGAAATTTGAACCTCAGTATTATTTTTGCTAAATATCATCTTCAAATTTGATAAACTCTCTAGTGATATTGACTATTTTGAGTTAACAGATTTATCACCAATTTCTGAGTTACCTAGAGCCTTAAAAAGCTTTATATTATTTTTCGGGGTATTTCTAACTAGATACCTATAATAATGGAACATATTAAGTACATACCTTTTAGAGGGAGTATTTAAAAATAAGGATTTCAAGAAATAGTATTTGATAGAATTTGGAAATTACAGAATTGTGAGGTATTACTTAACATTTCTTTTTTGGTAATTTTTTTTCCCTTTAAAATTTGTAAATTTTTTTCATATGTATGCATGAAAAATTAATCTTATTAATTGGGGAAAATCAGTGTCAAATAAGACCTTCAGTTTGTCATAGTTTATTTTTCAAATTACCTACACAGGTGAAAGTTTAATTTTTTTTTTTTTTTTTTTTTTCTGGAACAGGGGATTGAACTGAGGCCTTTGGGCTTGCCAGAGAAGCGTTTATTCCACTGAGCCATCTCTCTGACCCCTTAAAAAATTTCTGATGACTAAATATTTTTCATTTTGCCACATTATGTGGGAAGTTTTCAAATCAGAACAGCCTGGGGTTATGAACACCATATGATTTAAGACTGTGCTTTTCAAAGAATAGAAGTGCACAGAGATGGTACAGATCTTTACATCTTGCCTTGTGGTTTCCTGCAACCCCTCTACCAGGACGTCCCCAAATCCTTTTCTTGATATTGTACCTGCACTCCTCATTTCTGTAACTAAATTGGAATTCCATGCATCTGTTCCATGTTTATTCTGCTGCTCACTGATTTTTCATAGCATTTGATATATTTTTTTCTCTCCTTAGAAATGCTAATATCTCTTTTAGCATCTGTACAATTTTGTGTACCTGCCTACAGCTTTTAATGGAAGTTTTGTCTTTCTTCATGTTTCCTACTAGTAGCATTACAATTTTTGCAGCCAGACCAGCATTTTTATGTTATTGTTGTTAAAAAAAAATCCATTTTTGGAGTAAAAGGTACTAGTGTGTGTTATTTAAATACCTGTGTCTTTTAGAATGATAAGCTTAGTAATTTGACAGAGACAAATTTTAGCAGTAATTTTGCTTCAGGCTTGCCTTTTAGTACTTCATATGTCTATCTCTGCAGAGAAATGATTTGATGTTAAGCTCTTTTAATCATATGAAGCTTGAAAGACCCAGATTCCAGTTACAATCCTAACCAAATCTGATTTCTAGAGACTGATTTAGTCTAAAATACAATTAGTACTAAAGGCTAGCCAAAGGCATTTCTCAAAATCATGTTCTACTTCGTTGGGAAATGAGATATTGTACTTTTCTTGTCCTACTCCTGTACCTGTTCCAACCAAAGTGAGAGATAGTAGCTCTCTGGCCTCACTTTTGATTTCTAAGCAGTTCTTAAGTCATTCTAAATTCAGAAGTGTTCCATCCTTTGGTGTCTCACATTCTAGTTTTATCAGCCCAGTTGTGTCTCAGGTGTCCATAGACAGTGTCTCCTAATGCATTGCCTCCACAATCAAGCTTTCTGATGGGCATGGATCAGTAGATGACAAAAGGGGCCTAATAGTAATGTTATTTCTTGTTAGTTGTGGTCTTGTTAATGATTTAGCAATTTCCTTAGTGATCTCAATCATTGATTTTTAAATGTGTTAAAGTTGTTATTCTTTCTTGGTGATACCCCAGTGGGAAGATACAAACATTGATGGTGGAGGGGAGAAAGCTAAGGAACTAACTGGTCCCCTGTGGCCACACCTGCTCTCATAGGGAGCATGAAGAATGTTTTCTTGAAATAATCTGGTTTTGAAGTGATTAAAATTCGTAGAAGAGAAACTTGGATGGAACTTGAACTATAAGTAAGTGGGATAAATTGAAGGAGCAGTTAAGAACTAATGAGATTTGCTGTTAAAGAGTCCATTTTGGACCTAAGAAAAATTGGTGAAAATTTTTGTGGTGAGAAAGCAGTGTAACCCAAACCTACCTTGATAGTTATGCAGGAGAGACTGAAGGGAGCTGGTGGATCAAAGAAGGCTGAGACTACTGACCTTCACAATGGATCCATAAGCTTCCATGTTGTTACTTTATTAACATTTGAAGGCATACATTGTACGCTACAACGTTAAATCAGTGTGCCTAATTTACTTAACCATCTTGGTATTTTTAAATGACTAGTTCTTGGGAAATATGAAATGATTGAATTTCAAACTCAAGTCATGATCTTGCTAGCATTTTACCAACTAGATTTGTCCTGTAATTGTGAACTCTAAGTAGGTTTCTATGACAGTGCTTCTTTCTGAAAGAGTGTACCTTGAACCAAAGGCCACCTAAAGATTCATAATAGTAAAATATTGTTTACTTAAATTTAGTATCCAAACTGTGGCCTAAGATAAAGTGATTGAAATATGTTATATGATAACATATAAATATCTTATATGTTAACCTTGAACTAGTAATGATTATATCAGGCTGTTTCATCTTTATGGATCCTAGAACAGTTCCTTGTAGCCCTAATTAAAATAGTGACTAAAAATGAGATTGAAACAGAATATAGGGAGCTGAGGAGATAGCTCAGGGGCTTAAGTGCCTGCCTGGCGAGTGAAAAGTCCTGAGTTCGATCCCCAGTACCAAAAAACAGACAAACAACCAAATTAAACAATATAGGAATTGTCAGGTATATAAATTAATAATATAATAATGGTTTTAAAAATATTATTTCTACAGAACCTAAAGCACTTGGTAAACTCAGGGTGAATGAACTGCCAAATGGAACATCTCCATTTCAGATGTTGGCATGTCAAAGCATTCCAGCTACATATTCATAGGTGCTATCTTTCAGTCCTTCCAGTGTGTTCCTCCTGTACAAATACTTAAGATTAAAATCATCAAGATGCTCCTTTTATGATTTTTAAAACATGCTGCCACAATCACATAGTAAAATTGTGTTTCCTCAACTATATTTCATGATGTTACAAAATATAAATTTATTCATCAAAATGCTTCCAGATATTGGTACATTTAAAATGGAGATTATGGAAGCCTTTTCTTTCCATTGTTTCAGTTTCACTTTCCATGACTTGAGTTCCCTGAAAATTTTCTACATGAAAAACTCCACAAATAAGCAATCCATAAGATTTTAAATTTTATGCTGTTGAGAGATATGAGACAAAATCATGTACTGTTGGGCTTCATCCCAGTCAGAATAGGAACCACCCCTTTGTCCAGGGTGCTCAGGCTGTCTGTGCTGCCCACCTGCAAGTCACTTAGCAGCTGTTTCATTTATAAGATCCTTTGAGTACTGCAGTGCTTGTGTTAAACTAACATATAAGATTCTATAATTTTTGTGATTTCAGGATACACTAGGGGTCTTACAGCATGCCCCTTACAGATAAGGTTGAAACTGCTAGCACGGCTGTAATCCAGCACCAAAAATGAGGTGGCGTAGAACAATAGAAATCTGTCTTCACCTATCTGGACGGTAGATGTTTGAAATGAAGTTGTCTGCAGGGCATGCCCTCTTGGAGCCTCTGCTTGTGGCCAATAATCCTTGGCATTCTTTAGTCTGCAGCTGTGTAATTCTATCTTTGTCCTGCTATCATGTGGCTGTGTTTTTACATGGTGTGCTGTGTCTATATTTCCTCTTTGTGAAAGCACCACAACCCCACTAGAATAAGACCCCTCTCTGTGGAATGCTGTTAGCTTGCACCCTAAAAATGTATTCAGTGACCTTATTTTCATGTAAGATCACTAAAGGAGTGAGCATTTTTTTTTATTTTGGATTGAAATGTCAGGAGTTCAAGATTGTACATTGTTTGAACTATTATTTAATTCAATTGTTTCTTCCCCTTTTGTGAAGGTATAGGTTTCACTGTGTAAGATTTGTTTTCACTGATAGCAATTCACTAAAAGCTTCAAGTCTGAAGGCACCTTTCTCTCTTTTTGGTTTATTTGTTACATATGTTGACTAACAATTTTTCATAGATCTTAAACAAATTGTAACAAATATGACCTTCGAGACTGATTTACAAAATGAGTTTTCAAAATGTTATTGTTTCTGAAACCTAGGCAGACAGAAAAGGAAATGTATTCTGCTATATTAAAATATTTTATATCAAATTTTGTCAATTTAATTTTAAAATGTAGTTTTAATAATGTGTATATTTAGTTTTCTTATAGATTTATACATCAGTTAATTGATGATTATAGCTTGTTTGTGCAGTTATAGATAGCTTATGTTCCATGAACTAGTTCTGTGAAGACTGGATAGGTTCCTCTTTTTAGTTTTTTTTTTTCTTTTCTTTTTTCTTTTGAGCTAGGATCTCACTATGTTGTTTAGGCTGGCCTCAAACTCAATAGGTAGCCCAGGCTGGCTTGGAACTGAAACTCATGGTGACCCTCCTTCCTCAGCCTCCCTAGAGCTGGAATTACAGCACTAGCATGCTTGGCTAGATAACCCCTTTTTAAATGCTTTGTGACTAGTGATTGAAATGTTCACTCACAATATCACAAATAATTAGGAAAAGGGCTGGCCTGATAGCTCAGTGGACTAAAGTGCCTGCTTTGGCAGAGCACAGCATCTGGAGTTCGATCCCTGGTGTGCCGTGCCAGCCCCACCCCTGGGACACTCTGAGATGATGACTGAGATGGGGCATGGTGGCATGTGCCTGTAACCCAAGTACTTAAGAGGCTGAGAACAAGAGAATCACTATGAGTCCAGTCTATGTAGCAAGACCCTGTAGACCCTGTCCTAAGTACAGAAGAAAAAAAAAATCAGGAAAACATGTCACCACCTAAGGAACAAGTTATTGAATACCGGAAACTGACCCTAAAGTAACGGAGAGCTACCAGCTGCCTAACAACTAACTCTAAACAGCTATATTAAAGGAGCTTATAGTGAGCTATAAAAGAACATGGATAGATAACTGAATGAAATCATGAAAATGATGCACACAAAAAATTAGAAGTCAAGAAGAAGGTGGAAACCATTAAAAGGAAGAATCAAATTTTTGAAGTACTGATGTACCGACTGAAACAAAAAGTTCCAGATAAATCTTAAAGCAGACTTGATCAAGCAGAAGAAAGTTGAAGACAGGTTTGATTGATTGACTGATTGATTGATTTTATGTATTTAGTACAGTGTCTACAGAGTCTCTTTATACAAATCGAACTCATAGTGATCCTCCTATGAGGAGATTTTCAGTCTCCCAAGTGCTGGGATTACAGGCATGCACCACCATGCCCAGTCTCAATTGCCTTCTCAGCGCACCCTGTGCTAGGGCTGACACTGCACACTGAGGATCGAACCCTGGTCCCTACATCTGCCTAAGCAGGTGCTTTAATCTGCTGAGCTATCTGGCTAGCCCTGAAAACAGGATTTTTGTTTGTTTGTTTTTAATTTACTCAATTAGATAAACAAGAAAGTAACATAGTGGAGAAAGTCTCTGGCATTTATAGATCACCAACAAAAGAAACAACATGTAGATTATGGGAGTCTTAAAGGAGAGCCAGAAGAGAAAAGGCTCAAAGTGATGAGTGAAAGAGGAGGCACATCAACTGATAGCACAGAAATATAAAGGGCCCTAAGAGACTCCATGGACACTTACACACTGGAAAGTGGATGTCCTAGAAGAAATGGATATATTCCAAGAAATGTATGACCTACCAAGATGTAATACAGAAAATAAACTAAGATTGAGGAAAGGGATTGATTCAGTAATCAAAAACTTTGTAACAGAGAAAGTCTAGAATCTCATGGTTTTGTTGTGAACACTATCATACCTTGAGGAAGTAATCCTGACCCTTTAAAACCTCTTGAAGAAAACCAGAAGAATGAGACATTTCCCACCTCATTCTGTGAGGTGAAGAGCACTGTAAGAAAGGAAAACTGCAAACCAGTACCCCTGATGAACATAGATACAGAAATATTCAGCAAAGTAGTAGTGAAAGGAATTCAGCAGCTCTTTGAAGTGATTGTATACTGTAATCAAGTAGATATAACTTTTAGATGCAAAATAGTTCCATTTATGCACATTAATAAATGTTATATTCCACATTAACAGAATGAAGGATAAAAATCATGGTTATTGGTGAGTACCCTGTTCTTTAGCAGCGAGTCTAAGGAAGCTCACATAGGGGCATGTATGCATTAGGAAATTTGGGATTTAGTGAAAACTCCTTTATACTAGTATCTGAGGCTTAAAAAAATAGCATTGTCTTTGACTTGTTATTTCTTATCCCCTACGTCCAGTCTCAGTAAATGTCATTGCATGCCCTTCTCAGAACAGGCTCAGAATCAGAGGATGTATTGCTTGCACAGTCTTGCCCAAGCAAGCCATCCTCAATCCTCACCTGGAATACCACTCAGCCTTTCAGCTGGCATCTTCTCTTGCTGCCATAAAATCCACCCTCCATATTTTTACCACATGCAGTTTTTACAATGAAAGCCAGGTCGTGTCACTTCAGAAACTCCAAAGGCTGCCTGTGTCACTCATATAGTAAAGCCATGCTCCTTTCAAAGGCCTGAAGGGTCTCATCTAATTTGAGGTTCACATAGAATCACAAATAATCAGGGAAATATGGCACCACTGAAGAACAACTTAAGAAATACTGGTAACTGACCGTAAAGTAATGGACAGCGACAAGTTGCCTAACAGAGAATTCTAAATAACTGTCTTATGCTACTTCTTGCCTTCTGTCCGCTTTTTCTTTCTAGTGCAGTAACTCTATCCTTATATTTCCTATTAGAAATGAAAGAGAAATAAAAGAGTGAAGAGAGCCTGTGAGACTTAAAGAACATCGACAAGGGAGCCAATATGCAATTATGGGGTCTCAGAAGGAGCAGAAACAAGGAAAGAGAACTCTGGAGCATGCCAACCACACTCTGCCCAGAGGCTCCACACCTGCTATGCACTTTCTCTTGGCCTGCAGTCCTTTTGCATCAATCACCCACACTGTATCTCACCTAATTTCCTATATTTTTACTCAAGTGCAACCTGAATTAGCAGAGATGAAGTACCTTAATCTATCAATACAGGGCTGGGGAGATGGCTCAGTGGAATAAGCACTTCCCTGGCAAGCGCCAGGCTCTGAGTTCAGTCCCTAGTTCTCCCCCCAAAAATTAATCTATCAATACAAGATAATTATGACCCTCAGATATGCACTTTCCATTCATTATGTCACACAAGGGCCGGGAAGATAGTTCAGTAGAATAAGCACCTGCCTGGCAAGCGCAGGGTCCTAAGTTCAATCCCTGATACTGCCAAAAAAAAAAAAAAAAAAGGAAGTACACATTATGTCACACAATGCTACATTAAACGTTTATTTTTTTTTAAAGGAGATTGTTTATCTCTTCAGCCACAGTATAGTTTCCATGAAAGTTGGTTTTTGTTGGATGCTGTATTATTTATATTCCCAGTGTTCAGTACCTCATGTGTGGAAGGCTTTCAAAATGGGTTAAATGAACAATGAAAAAATTATGGGGAGTTGTAACTAGGGAATTGACAGTTACATTTGGAAAAATCCCTGAGGCTTCAGAACTGAAAATGGATTTAAGATTGAGGGTTGAAATGGGAGTTCTCTTGGTGCTTGAGTTCTCCGGTGGCTGAACATTTGAATTATTGCTGAGGTTGCTTTTTAGCCTTCCAATAATATGGATGTTGAAAAATTTCATTTGTTTGCATACTAGACTCTATAAGCCAGAAAACATATATTTGCCAGCTCACGGACCAATCCCAGCACTTTTTCTATGGGCCTCCATAGCTCTGGATTGTTTCCTCTAGCTGCTTGTGGTGTTTTCAGAGATAGACTTGCTGGGGCTCAGGTGACTGAAAGAGTCTGTGGTAAAGGCCAGGTACAACTGAAAATGCTGTTTCTGGTTCTTAATTTACCCATAGCCAGCAGCTAGGTGTATGATGCCACCTATAATTGCCAAGATGGCATAGCATTTTAGTGCTATAGTGCAAAGTGTAGACCCTTGCCAAGATCTCAGATTCCCACCTGCGGGGTGCCCACAAATTGAGTCCCTGCAAACACTTTGTCTCTTTGGAAGACAGGAATCAGTTATGCCACTACCAGCTAAATATTTTGAAGATCACACTTCTTTGTGTGGTCTAGGCTCCAGTATGCCTAGATTGTGCTCAGTGATTGCCAGCTTTATAGTAGCTATATAGTAAAGAATCAACTAATGATAACTCTAACAGTAGCATTGCTGTTCATATGCTGTACAATGCAAGACAGATTAGATGGCTTTGAATTTTAAAATACAATTATGTTTTTTTTACTGTGAGAGTAAATTCTATTTTGTTAGAGTTATGATGAAGATACAATGAATATGTAAATGGAAACAATTACTGCAATAAAAGATATATCACCATTCATCTCTCTTAGAATGTTCAAAATATTCTTTCTCATTTCAAACACATTTATACCATCATTTGAGTATGTCTTTTACTGTAGTTTTTAAAATTTTAAACTTTATTGTACTTTTTGATCACCCTTGTATTGTGTTTTAACTTATTGTGCTTTATCTTAACTGAATATTGCTGATATAAATTAACTTATAGAAAGTACATACTTCTTGCTATCTCTTAAAAATGAGCTGTGCTGGAATTAGTGCCATATCTGCCCTCATCCCAGGAATGGAGTGTTGATTTAACACTTGAAAACAATGAATGTAATTATATTGATAGACTAACACCAACCCCCTATATATGATCATTTTAGTAGGCATAGAAAAATAATTTTATAATAGCATATAAATCTGGGATAATACTAAATTATAGAACTAAGCATACAGCTTGTACCCATAAAACTTCCAGAAGAAAACACTAGAGAAAACTTTTGAGAGCTTGAGTTAAGCAAAGATTTCTAAAGTACAGCATGCAAAGCATGACCGATACAAAAAGTGATAACAAAATTAATAAATATTCTTAAGCACAGGGTCCTGAGTTCAATGCCTGGAAAAAATAAAATAAATATTCTTCTTGAGACACAAGAGCTTAGAAAGGCAAAACTCAGGAACTCAGATTAGTAGGAAATAATTAAATTCAAGTCACATATATGCTAACCTATGGTATATAAGGAACTCTTAATAGAAACAGCCTGTGAAACTGTGGGCAAATTTTAAATTATGCAGTTTACTGAAGAAGAAAGCAGATAGGAAACAAGCATATGAAAGAGCTCAGAGTTATTATTCACTAAGGAAATACAGATTAAAAGCACAGTCCAGGGGCCGGGGAGATGGCTCAGTGGAATAAGCGCTTCCCTGGCAAGCGCAAGGACCTAAGTTCAATCCCCGGTTCCACCAAAAAAATATAAAAATAAAAGCACAGTCCACTATTTCATATCCAATAGAATGCCTAAAATTTAGAAGACTGGCCCTACCAAGGGATGGCTGGTACATGCAGCAACAGAAATCATACAACTTCAGAAAACAGTTTGATAGTTTCTTACAAATAGTCATATACCAAATGGCCAAGGCATTCTAATCCTTGGGATTCCTGTAAGAGAAGTGAAGCTTTTCAACTTTCAGTAACTTGCAAATGAATTTATAACAACTTTATCATAGCTAAAAACTAGAAACAATCCAAACAGCTTTCTACAGATAAGTTGGTAACAAATCCTGCATACCCACATAAGAAAGTACTACTCAACAGTTTGTTTTTTTTTTTAATGAACCATTGTTACCTGAAACAGTATGAATGAACCTTAAAATAATTATGCTGCCAGACAATAGCTGGATAAAAGAGAATATATGTTGAATGATTTCATTTTAATAAAATTCTTGATAATATAAACTAATATATATTGGCAGAAACTAAATAAATAGTTGTCTGGGAGTAAAGAGTAAGTCTTGCAGTGACATGTTGCATGAAGATTACAGAGGGACACCAGGGAATTTTGTGGTGTGAAAGACATGCTCCTTTTACTTACGGTTTCCTGGCTATACACACATATTAAAACTCACCAAATTATAATTATTACTATATGCAGTTTATTATAGTTCAGTTAATATGTAATCCACAATATTTATTAAAGTAGGACAGTGGAGCAAGACTGATATGATGAATTTACACTGGTCTTTTATGTCCCAAATCTCTTTAATTGTTTTTAGTAAAGAACAGGCAAAAGTTAAATCAGAAGTAGAGTTTATTTAGTGTCCACTTATAGTTGTTTTGTTTAACCACTTTTTTGGTCAAATAATTGTCTACCGATACATTACAATTGTTAAGATACTGCTTTGTGTTAAATTGCAGAAGTAGTTTTCAGATGTGGTCTTGTACAAAAATCATCCATAAAAATTTATATTTTCAGTCTTTACCCACAGGGATTCTGAATTACAAGTGTGGTTCTATGTAAGTTCATCAAGCTTCTCTTGTGATTTTGATGTGTGTAGCCAGAGACCTTTCTCGGGGATCACTTGTTAACAAGATGCTTTATATCATTACATGAAACAAGATAAATGCTGTGAACAACTGGTATGAGGCTGAAGGTGAATAACCTTGACTTGGCTCCGTGTGTGTCTAAATAAAACCATTAACAAAGGCAGTTTACTTAGTCAGAAAAGACATCACATTTTCATTTGTATGTTGGCTGATATCTGTTGTCATACTCTTATTAGAAGATAGATGTGCACATTGTAAAAAGAATTAAGGTTGTGTAAAGTTCTACTTTTCCTCTTCTGTCTTTCTCTTGCTCCTTTTTTTCTTCTTCATAATAGGTACTGAACTAGATCTGTTGTTTTTTGTGTCATGTGCTATAGATCATGCTTTGACCAACTCTTTCAGTAGTGAAAGGGCAGGCACAGAAGCAGGGAGCCACTTTCTAATTTATTACATACTATTAACCCATAAATACATGGTGAGAGCAATGCAATTCACCCCAACAGAGTTGAGCTGAACATTAAATACAGTTCCTATTCATGGAGAACAGGAATACCTTCCTGCAATACATTAATTTGTGCCTTTCTAGAGATGGTTTACATTATATATCAAGCACTTTTAAATTGCCAGGAAATAGTGTATTATAGAAAGTTTTTCAGTTAGAGATGGTGTCACAGTACAGGGGAACAGTTGAACCATGTACTTCCTGACCTGGTCACCACCATCAGAAGCAGCAAACACAAAGAGACTGACATTTGTTGTTTGGGTTTGGTCTGGAACTGTGACCTGAGAGCTGCATGGTACAGAATTGTGGCTTCAGGGTCCTCTGGAGGCTATGCTAACCCAGGATCTGGGCTAAGCCTCAGAGTCTTGAGTCTGGATGACTACACAGATCCAACATGGAGGACAGTCTTGAGAGGTGGTGTCAGTGGTACCCAGGCTGTACTCACTTTAGATAAAACAGCAAGATTTTTAATAGAGCCAATATTGTAATGCAGATTTAAGTGTACAGTGTGACAGTTTCATTGAAAGAATGCATGGGCAGATTACAGTATACTATCACCACTCTGGCTTAGGAACAAGAGGAATTTGTGTCTCACATTTCTGGAGACTGACATCAGCAGAGCCCGCATCTGTTGAGGGCCTGTTTGTTGATTCCCACGTGGCTGCCTTCTTGCTGTGCTCTCACATGACAGAGTATGTAGGAGTTCCTGGAGTCACTCCTGATGAGGTCACCGGTCTTATTCCTGGGCACTGCATCTTCCTGAACCAAGCACTTCCTGAAGTCCCCATCTCCTGATTCTGTAACAGCAGCAACCAGGATCTCAACATATAAACTAGGGTGGGCCATAAGAATTCAGTGTGAAGGTAGAGCATAAGGGAAAATTATAAAGTGGAATTAGAACCTTTCACAAAATTTTTATGAGCCTGAAGAATGAGGGTCAAATATAATTGGAAAAAAGCAAATATGGATTCTTATGGACCTTTTGTCCATTTTTGCACCTTAGATTTATGCAACTGAGCACTGGTACTGTCTTACGAGTATGATACCTTTGCTTTGCTTTCCATAGACATGAAGCCACTGTCATCTCAGGTACTGAAATGGCCAAGCAGATCCAGAAGGAAGTTCAGCGAGGTGTGGAGGCCTGGCTAGCACTTGGGCATGAGAGACCTCATCTGAGCATTGTTTTAGTGGGTGACAACCCAGCAAGCCACACATATGTGAGGAACAAGATACGAGCTGCCTCCGCCATAGGTGAGCATTTATTTTATTTATTTTTTATTTATTTATTTATTTGAGAGAGAGA